AGTTTTCTGCTACTGTGCTATTGCTGTTGCAGTTCTGGTGGGCTACAATAGAGAGTACAGAAGCATCCATCTCCCAGCTTTTCGACCGCCAGGTGTTCGACCAATTGGCCAATAGGTGCTAACATGTTTTTTTCTCTTCCAATATATTCTCGTTTCTTCCTTTTTCCTGTTATATTTTACTGCCACATATTGTTCGAGGTGAAACGAATCAGCTTAATCACTGTTTTGGCGGAAACGAGACTATCCGGAGCTGTCTGAGGTGAAACAAGGCTCTCTGGGCGCTGTTCGGGGTGAAACGAGGCTGTCCGGGGGCTGTCTGGACTGAAACAAGGCTTGTCCGTTTCCTTTCCGGTCTTCTCTTCTTATGATGATGATTAATTTATTTTCTTTACATGTTGTAGTTTCTTCATTCAATTTTCGAAACATCTCGAAGTTCAATCATGGTGTATTTCAAGGATCTTTCTTCACATTCCGATATCCAACACTTAAGATACTTGATGATGACGCGGTCTTTCAACACCTTATCAACAAATTCTCATCTTGAGGGCCAAAATTGACAAATTCTCTTTAACTCCAGGAGTTGTCTCAAGAATTTTCATCCATCAAGAAAGCAAAAACATGGGCATTGTAAACAACTCATCATCACCATCAACGGTTAGACAAACAACCGCTATCAAATCATCAAAAGATCCCATCAAGTTCCTCGGCGAGTTCCACCGGCTACTGGGAATGGGCCGAAGATATACAACTTCGTCTACGGTTCACATACGATTGCAACTCAAATATTATCAAAGCGACATGCAAAGGCTGGTGCCCATAGAAGAACACGTTGCTGACCTCTCATGGCGAGTTATCCATTATTTGGTGGGACTTGAATGCGATAGCCGGTCTTCCTATATTCGGGTTACTATATGACGAATTCGTCCCGATCGGCTTCTATTTCCTTACCCGTTTGTGCAACCACCTACTACATGTTTTTCACCATCTTCAACAGAACTCTCGCCATCTCTCTCGCCATCTCGCCATGGCCAATTCACCCAAGTCACCATCGACATTGGATCAACTTTTGGTCGAAGAAGGCAAAGAAGTATGATGCCCCACCTCCACGTGTAGAGAAGAAACCCACCTGTGCAAACACAAAGCATCTTAAATCAACTCACAATCTACTTGGCCATATTGCCAATCACTAGGACTGGTCCCCCACAGAGAAAGCTCCCTTTAGGCGGTAAAGAAAATTATCAAGATTCAACATATCTCGCGGCTTTTTTGGCATGCTGGCTTTCTCTTTTCGTCCTTCCAAACAACGAAATCTTCTCCATCCGCCTGACACTTTCAAGATGGCGAGTCTCATGGAAAATGGATCGAAAGGGAGCTCAATTGTGTCGGTTCTAGCGATCATCTACAAAGGGCTTAACAAAATTGCGACATCCCCAAGACCTTCTCAAGTTTATTCGTCATTTCCCGTGCAACTCGTCTACAGCTGGCTAGTTCATTATTTCAAGACTAATAACTAAGTCTGGAGAGGAACAAATGACCCGAAGATGTTGACTTAGTCTGGTGAGGGTCACCCAAAATATTATGAATCGAAAGATACAAAAAAACGACTTCCAAAAGGCAACCCTCACCCAAAATATTATGAATCGAAAGATACAAAAAAACGACTTCCAAAAGGCAACTTGATCTCTTGGGCGTGCACCATGATCACGAACACGTCGCCTTTTGAATTCGCTTTCGAGAATCTTTCGGTTCATAATATTTTGTGTGGTCCTTACCAGAGTAAGTCACCATCTTCGGGTTACGTCGCTTTTTTGAATTCGCTTTCGAGAATCTTTCGGTTCATAATATTTTGTGTGGTCCTTACCAGAGTAAGTCACCATCTTTGGGTTATTTGCTTATTGCCAGACTTGGTTATCGGTCTTGAAGTAATGAGCTAGCCAGCTGTAGACGATGTGCACGAAAAATGATGAGTAAACTTGAGAAAGTTTTGGGGATATCGCAATTTGGTTAAGCCCTTTGTAGATGCTCGCTAGAACCGGGACGACTAAGCTCACTTTCGATCCAATTGCAATTAGACTCGTCATCTTGAAAGTGCTAGGACGGATGGAGTGGATGTCGTCGTTCGAAGGATGAAAAGTGAAAGCTAGCACGCCAAGAATTTGTTGAATCTTGATAATTTTCTTTGACGTCTAACTTTAAAAAGAGAGCTTTCTCCGTGGGGTATCAATCCTTGTGATTGGCAATATCGCCAAATGAATTATGGGTTGATTTAAGATGCTCTGTATTTGCACGGTGGGTCTCTTCACACGGTGGGTCTCTTCTCTACACTTGGAGGTGGGGCATCATACTTTTTTGTCTTCTTCGACCAAAAGTTGATCCAATTGTCAATGGTAACTTTGGTGAATTGGCAATGGCAGGAGTTCTCATGTAGTAGAAGGTTGCCCGAACGGGGAAGGAATTTGAAGTCGCTCTTGTCAATGCCATTGAGTTCTTCAGTGTTCGGGACGATTTCGTCATATAGTAACCCGGATATAGGAAGACAAAAGATGGCATGCAAGTCCCACAAAGAAATGGATAACTCGCCATGAGAGGTCAGTAGCGTGTTCGTATGTGGACACCAGGGTTTGCATGTCGTTTTGATAATATTTGAGTTGCATTCGTATGTCAACATCTTGGCATAGACGGAGTCGTATATCTTGGCAGAATGAAGTTTGTCCATTGGCTGAGAATATGTTCAGCCCATTCCCTTTGACGTGGTGGAACTCCCCGAGAAACTTGATGGGATCTTTTTTCCATATGGCTTTGCCTTTGATGATTCGATGGCCCAAAGTAGAGAATGGCGGTTTTTTTTCTAGCGGTTGACGGTGATGATGAGTTGCTTATAATGCTCATGTCTTTGCTTTCTTGTTGGATGGAATTTCTCGAGACCTAGAGTTGTGCCTTCGTCGTCCGTCATCAAGTGTCTTCAAGTGTTAGGATGCTGGAAAGGGAAGAAAAGTCCTTGAAATACGTCATGAATGAACTTTTATATGTTTCGAAAATTGGATGACAAGTGTTCTTCACATTTAAAGGCGTTCTTGAAGATTCGAAGCAAGATTCAAGCACGTTGTTTAATCGAAAACAAACTGTTAAGTCTCCGAATTGCGTTAGTAAACTCAAAACTAGCCGAGAAGATTCAAGATCTGCTTTGCGGCAAAGTCCAAGGACTCATGTTCAATCACGTTGTTGGAATATTACCGCGTTTGATTTAATATCAAGGCCCTCGGATTAACGTTAATTCAAGTCAAAGGAGAATATCAAGCTGAAGTTTCGCTCCAAGACTTAAAATCGTTCGTGAGAAGAATCAGATGAGAAAATAGAAATCGTAATCCATAATATTCATTTTATTCGAGATATTCGTTTATATAATATTTTCGTGGTTATAAATTCAATATACGAAATTTGTTGATACAAATTTTTGGCACTCCTGGTATCTTGAAGATCCACACGTCTTTTTTTTTTTTTGATTTTTTTTTACAGAAATTAGTAACAACACATTTTATGTACTGAATTTATAAATACAAAAAATATTTTACAAATGAAGTTCTCGAATTAAGTGAATATTGCGGATTATAGTCTCTATTTTGTCCTCTGATTTTCCTCACGAACGATTTTGAGCCTTGGAGCGAAATTTGAGTTTTCAAATAATATTCTTCCCAAGAATATTATGTGTAGACACTTGATAGTTTTTCGGACAGATTTGCGTCGCTTTTTTATTATTTTTTTTTATGGGGCATTTTCTTTAGGTTTTCAAATTGTTTTGAGAAAGGGATTATGAAGCCCCAATCTTAGGTGAAAAAGAAAACTCCGGAAACAGTATCATTTGTAACCTGACAATTATTCTATCCTGGACAATGTTTACACCTTCACTGTGCAAGCTTAATTAGTTGAGGGTAGTATTGTATATTCCTAGGGCATAAAGTATAAACATAAGATGGCTGTGATGGAAAATCATGAATCTCATCGTCTAGTCCGACAATGTAGATGTTTCTGATATCTCCATTAGTTCTAAACTGTACCATAAGAAATAACAAAAGTATGACATGCATAAGGTTAGTGTAATATATAACATTTCAAGTCCTTTATTCTCATTTTTTTATGTGAAAGTGAATTGTGTAGGCTTTTACTAACTTTTATTGGACAAAGGTGGGTTCATATACTGTAATACTGGCCTAGGCTGTCGATAATCAGATTGTAATCAATCATGTTTACAACATTTATTATGAGAATCTGGTCCGTGCAATTAAATGGCGTACAGAGGTGCTTTATCATGAGACGAATGACATTCATGCACGTGTACATGATGACGTCTGGTCGACGTGAGACTAACTGGTTGTTCCATAGCGCTGAGTAGGGTTTCGCCCCTTTAAATATCTGCCATCTGTACTCGCTATGAACAACTTCTTCCTTTTGATTTCCAAAACCATTGTCCTTGCAAATCAAGTTCAAGGTAACAATTTTGATTCCTCGAAGTTTTAGCTATTTTATTGAGAAATATTTGGGTATTGAAAAATTTAGTCTTTTTGCAGAAAATGATGTGCTTAATTACTGTGTATTTCGTATTTAATATATCTGAATGAATTACCGTGTGACTAAGTGTAAATCTATCCTCATTAAGAAACTTTTCTTGCTTTATCTAGTGCTCATTCAAAATGATTTGATTTTATTCGATTTGCCATTTGATTGATATGCCAACTTTAGTTCAAATAGGAGAGCTGATTAGTAAAGGTAGCATCTTTTCTAAATAAGAGTTATAAATTATGATAAACTTGATGAGTGATCTTCTGGGTTTCATTTGATTATTATAAGAATGTACATTCTAATATAGTTCTCTGATATATACCACTCCTGACCATTTTTTTTTTTATTCTTTATCTTTTATTTATTTTGTTCTCTGTACAATTATGCTCATTTCACATGTAACCGAAGAAAGAGGAGAGCAATAGTGTGACTTGTGTATAAATAGCTCTCTAAGTTTTAGCCAAATAGTTCTGCATTATCTCCTTCAACTTTTCTATCATGACAGCTATATCTGTAACTTCTCTTTGTTTTGAACTTTTTATGTCAGATCAGCAGAAAATCGGCCGCAAGACATCTGAATATATCTCGTATCCCTGATGGACCATTTCTTCGAGCAGCTGGTTCTCTTAATTTATCTTTAATTTTTTTTTCCTTATATATTTGCAAAATATCGCTCTATACTCTAAGTCCTTGTATCGGATAACTCACAGAAGTTTTTCACTTCAGATCCAAAAATCCACACAAAACCAAGATATCGTGTGGTCGGGTGAATCCTGGTTTTGCAGCAATCAGGTGAAGCACTATCCAGCTTGTTCCAAGGGCTCTACTTACAATACCCGTAAGTCTCGGAACTTGCATTATCTACAATATTGCCTCTGAGGATGTTTCCTCATAAAAATTTTCAATTCATGTTCAAAATATAACTCAACTTTAACTCAACCCATTATCCTCCATATTATTAATATAATTAAATAATATCAACTAACCATTCTTACACATCACATCAACTTTAATTCACTATTCATTCACTCGCATAATTTTAACTAACCACCACTTCACATCATCTCTCTCCTATTTTTACATTAATTAAATATTATTTTAATATAAACTCAAAATTCCACTGATAACTAACTATACCACATTTTTCAAAATTAACCCTGGTTAACTAAAAAAACTCATTTTGAGCGGATATATTTGTATCCAAACACGCCCTAAACCTCGTACACACACTTTTAGGTCCACTCCTTTGTATGGATCCTAGACGACGGGAAAAAAGGCTTCCACGCGGAAGACTTTTTCGAGGATTGCCGGGGACAGAAAATGGTCCAGCTTCGCCCTTTCCTCTAGGACTCTGAAGTCGAGCCTCTGGTTCCCAGCCTAAACCCTCATTCTAGAGAGGTCTTCATAACCCCTTGTCGTTTGGAGATCAGCGCAAGGCACGTTGATGGTCCCGCGGAGGTTCTCACGCCCAAACATTTTCTCCAACACTCATCAGCCCGAAGCTTGGTGTCTTATCGGGAATTTGTGAACAATCGGGTCAGGCCTTTTGCTCTGAACGAGCTGTCGGGGTACGCTGACCAGCGGGCTGTCTCGTCTCTTGAGGAAATGGGCACCAGAGAACCAGTAATTGTTTATGGGCTCCCTGCTTCAGGTGGGCCCCACGACACTGTGATGTGGCTCGAGAGGGGCGAAACGGTAAGAGCATGATTGGATATAAATCCAACCCAAAAAAATCCAATCATTTTTAACTCAACTCCACTATCATCAATATTATCAATATAATTAAATAATATCAATCAATCATTCTTACACACAATATCAACTTTGATTCACTATTCATCAACTCACATAATTTTAACTAACCATCACATCACATCTTCTCTCTCCTACTTTTACATTAATTTAATTTTAATTATTTTATTTTAAATTATTTTAATATATCCATTAACAACTAACCATACCAACTTTTTCAAATTTAACTAACTCAAACTAAAAATCCAATCAAAACAAAAACTTTTTAAATCCAATCATGCTCTAAAAAGGAGATTGAAAAAAGCCAAGAAGGTAGAGGTAGAAAGCCAAGCTTTTCCCAAGGTAGGTGAGAATGTGGAGATTCTGTGTCAGGATAAAGGGGTGAAGGGCTGCTGGTTCAGGTGCAAGGTTTTGAGTATGATGCCAAAGTGTCTAAGGGTCGTGCACTGTGATGTCAGCAATGTTGATGGATCTGGGCAGCTGGAGGTATGCATTCGAACATTTTTTTTTTTTTCCCTTTTAATCTGAATCATTTAACTTTGAACAAAACAATGAAAACCAAAAACATGTTTTTATATTGGAGCAGGTAGTGTGTGTGGTGTGTGTGTGGAGACAGTTAGGGTATGTTTGTTTATAAATTATCTCAATTCATACTTACTCAACTCTAACTCAACCCTACTTATTTTTATTATAATTAAATAATACAATCAGTCATTCCTACACATCACATCAACTTTAATTCACTATTCATCCACTCACATGGTTTTAACTAACGTCTGTCACTTCACACTATTTGTTTCTCCTATTTTTTACATCAAATTAAATTTAATTATTTTATTTCAAATATTAATTTAATATAAACTCAAAATCCCGTTGACAATTAATTATACCAACTTTTTCAAAATTAATCATGTTTAACTACAAAAAACTCATTTTGAGTGGATATATTACTAATATGAGTATATAGCATTTTTGCACATCTCGACACTTGTCAATTGGGTATGTGGAAATTTTGTCAGGATTGGGTGGCGAAAGGCAGAGTAGCCTATCCCGATGAACTCGGAATGAGAAGCAACGGCCGTCTTACAGTGAGACCGTGGCCTCATTGAAACTCGTCTGACTTGGCAGCTGAGGTGGGGGCCGCAGTCGATGTGTGGTGGTTTTCCGGCTGGTGGGAAGCTGTTGTGACCGGAATCGACACTTCTGAACAACCCAAGATTCAAGTCTATTTGCCAGGTAATTTTGCTGTCATTTTGGAAACTGCCCATTTGTGACATGGGTGGATTTTGTATTGTGGTAGGTGAGCATAAGTTTTTGTTCTTTGAGCGGAAGGATGTTAGAGTTTCCAAAGATTGGGTTGGCGAACAATGGGTGGATGTGAAGCCGAAGCTCAACATTCTTTCTTTCCTAAACTCGCATCTGAACACGCTGCCAAAAGTGAAACTCCCTCAGGTTAGCAAATCAGAGTTGTCGAGTTCGTCTGCTTCCAACTGGAAAAAGAAACTGAGACTCGAGCGTGATGCGAATGCGATGCTTGCACTGGACACTATGAAGGCAAGCAAGCAATCACAGTAATTTCTTTTTTAATGATTTTCTTTTCTTTTGTTAAATGATACAGTATCATTGCAAGGGTAAGTGATGAGTGATGCTCAAGAGACACTAGCAGGCGTGATGATGTCAGCACTGAGGTAGCAAACGGTCTTTGTGAAAATTTCGTCACTACATTCGTCATTTGCAATTTCAACTTCTTTTGATCATATATTTTTTGACCGTCAAATGTATGGACATAATGCTTCGCACTTTTCATGAGGAAAAAACCAAATACCAAATATTATTTATTTATTATTACCACTGGTAGTCTGCCCCATTTTTGTTACCGAGCAGCAATTTCCTTGGACTTTCGTAGTTCTTGTTTTCAGACAGCAAGTGAGTAAACATGGACATGGACAATCGCTCAAACTTGAAGAGCAAGTTAGAACTGCCATCTCCTATAAAAACTTAAGCAATATACCTCAATCAAGAAAACAACTGAGACTTGTGTTGAGCACAAATTAACAAAAATAAATAAATAAAATAAAAATCCCACACAGCACTCTTCTTCTCTCTTTCTCCTACTTGAATAGTCACTGCCTTTTCCACCCATTCAAGTAACTCATTATACTAGGGAAAAAAATGGCAGAATGTATGTTAAGAAGTGCCTATCCACCCAATTGCCAGATAACAAATCTTTGCAACCTCATAAACCAATACACCTTCTGCACAAAACTCAACAATTCCTGCAAATCCACTACTCAAGAACTCAACCAAGATCCAATATGGCTCGAATTAAGACAGGAAGCCGAGCTCAACGCAACACAAGAGCCCTTCTTGTCGGAATTCTTTGACTCATCCATTTTATCCCACGCATCACTAGAAAGCGCTTTGGCAAACACGCTATCCATCAAACTGAGCGACATGAACCTATCAAAACAAGATCTTTACAATGTTTTCCACAAAACACTGGTCGAAAACACTGGAATCCAGGCAGCCGTTAGAGACGACTTAAAAGCCGTGAGGGAGCGTGATCCTGCCTGTTTGGGCTACCTCAACTGTTTCCTCAACTTCAAGGGCTTCTTAGCCTGTCAGGCCCATAGGCTGGCCCATGAATTCTGGGCCCAGAGCCGGATCGCCTTGGCCCACGTGGTCCAGAGCCGGGTTTCGGAGGTTTTCGCAGTGGACATCCATCCTGGGGCGGAGATCGGCCGCGGGATGGTGTTCGATCACGCGACGGGGGTCGTTATCGGGCGGACGGCTGTCGTCGGAGACGGCGCCACGATTATGCACGGCGTGACTTTGGGGGAGGGAGATGGGGGCAGCTGGCATCCTGTGATTGGGGATGGGGTTGTGATTGGGGCTGGGGCTAAGGTCTTGGGGGGTATTCGGGTCGGGCAGAGCGCGAAGGTGGGTGCCGGTGCGGTTGTGGGGGAAGAGGTCCCGCCGGGAAAGACGGCGGTCGGAAATCCGGCGAGGTTGGTCGGGTTGAGATGAAAAGCGGGTGTGACCCGTAATTAGGGGTGCCAACTGCCAAATGCCAATTGGTCTNTAGAAATCCTAATTGAATAGTAATGGGCTAGGTAAATTTGGATTGTGACCCATATCTTACACTTTGAGAAATTTACCCCATGCACGATTACCTTAAATTATATTTTCACATTTACGATGTATATATTATATTTTTAGTTTTACGTTTATCTTTTAGTTGTAAGCTAAACAAACACAATTATTTTACGAGATTTCATTTACTAAATTAATAAAGTAAGTTGCATAGATTAAGGTACCGAATTCAATGGGATATCGTGTTGATCCCAATTAATAAATTACGTCTCTCTTTCTTCTACAAACAATCCTCCTCTATATCATTTTATTCAAAGTGTAAAAAAAGTTTGAATAAATCCTTGCTCTGGTATGTTCTCTTTTTGAAGAAAATATCAATGGCGAAAAGGACGGACGAATCATTTGTGATAGAATTGCCTTATGAATTGTCAAAATGATGCACGACGGACTCGTTTGAGATCTCTTTGCCGCAGGTGAACCAGAGTAGACCGAAAATTCACGTGATAATCACGAAAAAATAATTGTTAGAATTAGGGTGAATCACTTGGTTCAATTTCGGAGAAGTTGCAGTATGAATACATGTTGTATGATCACAGAAAATTATTTATATATATACACATTAACATTCTTAAAAGTACCATTCCTACAACATTAACCATTACCAACAGTCCCGAAAAGACATTGTTAATAACCACTCACAACAGTTACCCAAACGTAAACAAAACATATTATTAGATGTACAACTTATATACGTTATAATTATACTAGCTCTCTTTTTTTCATATATATTATACGCATGATACAATTATACTAAAAATATACATGAAGTAAACAACAATAAAGGCGATTGGGAATAGAAAAAAAAATGGTAGAGCAAAAATTCGGTTAATTGACATTTTGAATTTGAAAAAAAATAAAATCGTAGAACCATCAAATATATGTTTAGATATATTGTATATATATACATTAGATAAACAAGATCTGACAATTCTCTATTATTAACCATATAGTTATACATAAGATAAACAACATATAAACAATTTGAATTCGGTAGAAAAAAGTTATGATCCCGATTGGGAATAGAAAAAAATTCGGTAGAGCAAAAATTCGGTAATCGACATTTTGAATTCGAAAAAAAAAAATTCGTCCAACCACCAAATATATGTTTAGATATACTGTATATATACATTAGATAAACATGATCTGACAATTCTCTATTATTAACCGTATAGTTATACATAAGATAAACAATATATAAACAATTATGAAAAGAGATTAAACATAATGTTAATTAACATAAAGTACTATCAAATATTACAAAGATTTGTAAACACAACAGGGAACTCGTCGAATGATAACCAAACTCGGCCACGAACTCGCTGGACAACTCGTAATCAAAATAGCAGTCACTGGCACTCGTGGTAGCAGGAGGAGAAGAGGATACTACTCCAGATCGACGAAGACGTTCCAGCAAGGTGGCCGGGCAGGCGGGCGCCGGCAGGCCACAGCCGCGCACAGGCGTGGCCAGCAGCAACATCATCCCGCGAAGCCCGGTCCCAGCCTGCGAGGCCTAGCATCAGCCCGCGAGCCCGTCAGGCGTCGTCCAGCCAACCAGCGATGCACAGGCCTAAAGAAAAAAATTACCAGGTCACATCAAACACAAAAAAAAGAAAAAATAAAGAATAAACAAACTCAGAATTTGAAAATACCTTCAATTTTTTTGTGCGCATCCAATGGTTTGTTGGATCAACTGAATTTTTTTCGTTTTCCAATCCAAAATCATGATTTTTATTTTTTTAAGAAAGAAGAAGTGGAGATCTCGACGGGAGCATGCTCTGTAAATCGATCGAAAGAATTATGGAGCAGTAACGGATCCTGTTTTCCTTGCTAGATTTTCGCTTTCAGCTCCATAATCCATATATGGAGAGAGAGAGTAACGGATCCTGTTTCCTTGCGAGATTTTTTGACTGATTATGGAGCAATATCTCGTACAAATGAAAATAAAACTACTACTCAATCCTGTTTTGATTAATTTTTGCATGGATAGTATATATGTAGATATATCTATATAGGGATATATGTATGTAATTTTCCCTTACACTTTTACCCTAGTTTTAATGTTCAACATAATACAACCGTCACAAACAGTGAAAAATTTCACCTGCTTCCTATACACTTGTATACCAGAGACTCGACCAATCACTCGCAAGTATTTTGAAGGCTGATCGAGCCGGGACCACGTGTCGTGTCCAGTCACGGCATGCTCCGACACGTTCGAGAATCGACCAACCGCTTGTAGCCAGGACCACACACGCGTTGTAGATCAGAGGCGTAGTTCAACTCCTACGCTTCGTTCGCTTACAAATCCGACGATCTCCACCGCTGCTAAGGGGCACCTCAACCGTCTCCCTTGGTTCTGCCGACGGACCTCATCATCAGTCTAACTAGTGCGCCGTCGCCACCCGCCCGAGGCCGCCGGTTGCCGCCGCTTACATGTCCGTCGATCGCAGCCGCCATCGAATCTGGGGTCTGTCAATCCAGAGGAAAACCGGCGAAGAGCCTTGTGTGTGTGTTCCTCTGAAACCAAAATAAGAAGAAAAAATGAGAGGAAAGATATGAGAGATTAGAGGAAAAAAAGAAAGAGAAGAGGGGTTGGATGTGTCAAGTTTTTGTGATGGGTTATTTTTAGGTGAGTTTTATAGTTGAGGTCATGTGATAAGATAGAGAAAAATAAAAGAGTTAATTGCTGAAATATCCGTGTGCTTACCGCGATTTCCACTTTTTCTTACATTTTAGCGCCAAACCCATATATTTGGATTTTGGGTTTCATTTCCATGATTGGTAAACGAAATTCTCCAAAAATACTATAAGTAGGAATTGAACGATAGATCTAATAAAAATAATATTTTTCGGGGTGTTTGGATACAAAACATGTCTGATATTGTTCTAAAATAATTGATGTTTTCTCATTCCAACCCCGCCGCAGTTGTTCGTCATCAAAGTACGTTGCGTCGCGCCCGATGTCCCAATCGCGTCGCTACCGGTCGAACCCCGCGAAGCTGGCAACCGTCAGTCGGACCCGCTTTTCGGAGTATCTTTGCTATGGATGGTTTTTTGGAGCCGAGGCTGGGTCTCAAAAGTTGTTGAGACATTTTACGACTGTATGTACCGAAGTCTTCCAACAACGAAACATTTGGCCATAATTGTAGATTTGACCACGAAGGACGATGTGGTATTTATATGGTTAATTCTGCTGGGTGGTTTATGAGTATAGGGGAGTGTAAAATTTCTTTTGTTGCAGTTACGTCCTCGCCCAACATTATGTTTTCCATCGGAGCAATTAGGCGACCTTCAACTTTCGTGTTCAATAAGGCGAAACGAAGGGCAATGGATTCCATGGGTACGACTCTAGTGTCGGCGCGTTTGGTATGGCTTCGAGGGCAAAACCTTCTGAATCGAGGGAGAATGATGCGGATACGGATATAATATTAAAGGATATAATTAGTAGCATTATTATTTAATAGGTAGCTTGAAAAATAAGTTAGGTTTTAATATTGAGAGTCTTACATAAAGGACTTTTATGCTTTATTGTTGGGTGATGGATTTTGAATAAAAAATGAATTCATATCGTTCTTAGGTGTTCTTGAAATTGTGGCTCATTAATTAATATTGTCCCACTTGTACGCTTCCATACATCAATAATCCACCAAGATCAAAAAATTGTGTTTGGATAGAAAACATTACATCTACCTCAATGAATCAAATTTGTTCCAAAATAACTCAACTTGTTTCAATTTAAAACTAATTTGGACACTTGCAGGCCCTACACTATCACATAACACAAATTCATGTCTCTCTCACCTGACTCTCTCAACTCTTATAAAAAAAAATAAATAAATAAATAANATCATCGGCCGATGTGGATGCCACGGGACAAGAAAAGGGAGATGCGTGCTTGTCATGAGATTGAGCGGATGTTTGTGGATTTAATGTTGGATGAAGTGGTTAAGGGTAACTGCGTTGCTGGAAATTTAACCAAAGACAATGGACGAGCATGAAAGCCGATCTCAGTGAGCTTTGCCCCGGCAACCCTGTTTATACAGTGGCTCAATTGACGAGCAAAATAAACCGTATGAAACAGACATGGTGAAGGTTTCACGACCTGTTGTTGGCTGAAACGGGTTTGGATGGGAGAGCTCGCGAGGGGTGATTACGGGTCCGGCGGAAGTTTGGCGGTCGTGGCTTGAGGTATTTTAATTTGATATAAAACTTCAATGCGCATCATATTTTTTTGGTTTGTTTACACGTCTCACAAAAATGCCTCTATTTTAGAAGAATGTTATACACAAGTTTGTAATGTGTTTTAAACATGTTAGTGCTAAGAACATAGGCTTGCCCAATTTTGTAAGAAACTTTTCCATAAAAAAACTAAACAGAGATTGAGATGTACAATGGAGGCATGATGGTACAAGTTGTGTTAAAAAAATAAAAAACATTTTTAAAGTGCAAATTTCATTCAGGGTCACCCGAGCGATAAAGATATGAAATGAAAGACGTGTTTGTTTTATGAGGATTTGACCACCATTTTTGTTGGTGCGACCGATGCTGGTGCGGGTGCGCGAGTGTCGACCCATAGGACCAACCCCCGTTAGGTAAACCTTGATGGACAACCGTCCCAGCAAGCTCGTGATGACTCCCCCTTTACCGAGCCTATGGAGGAACCATTGAATAGCCAAGGCTCATAACGTCACTGCGGGAGTCGCACACGGCCCATATGTAGAATAATGAGGACGAATCCTTCATCCGTTGGCACAACCATCGATGTTTGGATGGAGTTAAACCATTCTCTGAAAAGGCGCGTAGAGCACTGGGGACTTTATTGTTGGGTTCTATTAGGAACCTCGGCAATGTGCACATTCAAATCTATTATAATAAATTCTTACGCAGCGGAATCTATAGTTAGGATTAGGACTTACGGTTTTAAAATTTTTGTCGACTCCGAGACGTTTTTGATTTCCGTTGATGGAGATCGTCTGAAATTCAGGGTCCGATAGGCTGCCAGACCTGGCCTTTCTCGATTCTGATCGAGTCGTTCAATCACGAACAAATCATCTCGGACCTCTGGTAAGTTAGTCGGACTGCTTGGGAATCGTCTCGGACACGAATCGGGTCTTCTAGACCAAGTTGAACCGGGCCGAGGCCCGACCAATAGGACTAAGTGAACATTTCTGTACACCCGAGCTTCTGTTATCTTCCGTTATTGTTATCCCCCTTCCTCTCTTTCAGACAACTTAAAATTTTGCAATATTTTTACCTACTCCTTCTCCATCCTCAAGGGATATCCCCTGCCGAAAGAATCAAATCGTTACCAATTGATGAGCAGGCGAAGCGAACCGAAACAACATCTATGAAACAAAAGAAACCCGAGTAAGAAGCAAAACAGGCATACAAACAAATGACAAACGAAACACCCAAAACCCCACAAAACCACACTACCCTATGACCGACAAACTTTCCACATATAAAAAAGGCAAAAGACACAGACCAAAGCAACAGACGAACAAGCGACGAGAACACAAATCACATAAGAGAAAACGAAGCGGATGAGACAAAGTAACCCTAAAATCCCAAGTCGGGAAAGAAGGACTCCAGAAAAAGTTTTATTTATTCCACTCTCGAGAAACTAAAGTAAAGTATTTATGATTTGTGGTAATAGAAATGGAGTTAATTTTATAAACAACAACGAACCATTAATAGTCAGTCAACGATTGGTTGAACCAATTAGAATCGAAGAAAAACCGGTCGGCCAGGCTGGTTTGCCTGGTCCAAATTTTAAAAAATTTGTATATAAATTTTGTTATATTTACAAATATTTTTAATATACATAAAAAATACATATTTAAATATAATGGATTTGTATAAGTTAGTTATTGTTTGGTTTAAATATCTAAATATTTTAAATTGTTAAATATAATTAATAATATTTTTAATATAAAATATTAAATAATAAATATAACAAAGTGAACTATTGAACAGTAGTTTAACTGAATTTTGAAAATTTTGTCGAAACCGATGCTACCAAAATACTTTCATAACATATCATTTGAAAATAAGTGAACAGATTATTCGCTCAATGATATTCCAAAACTACACCCCTGCTACGGATTCCGTGTTTTTCCTTAATAGTTATTTAAGCAATTCTAGTAGCTACTCTTTCACAAGCTATGGTTGCATCCATCTATATTAGTAGTATTTAAAAAATAAATAAAAAGTTTAGTAAATGAGCTCATAAAGCAGTTGATCATAGGAAAAGGATATCATTAATTACAGCTCATAAAGCAATTGACCATAGCAAAATGATATTCTGTACAAAAACACCGTGTCACGTTTAGACTTTGACTTAGACTAATTTCAGTGGAGGAAAAATAATTGAAAGAAATCAAGATTTTGGTAGGAAGTAATAGGGGTGTTCACGGTCCGGTTTTAACCGGAAAAAATCGTCAATCCGGACCGCGGATTGGTTAAATGGTCAGTTAA